GGGTTCGGGTCATGCTGTCTTTTATGCTCGACCCTGTCATGGGATGGTCCAACCATTCTCGTTTTCTCCATATTTATGTACTTCTCGGCTCGATTAAGAAGCTCGGTGACTGTCTTTGGTGGAGTTTTAGATAAAGACATCTTGAAAGCTTCACACTTTATGGCATATGTGAGGGCAGAAACTGCTGCAGTTATGTGTAGGTCGGGAATCTGAAATCTTTCCTTATTGAACCTAATCATGAAGTCACGTAGGGTCTCATTTTGCCCTTGTCTAAGTTGCATGAGGGAAGCCGCTGTCTTCCTGATGCGTTTACTGCTTGCGAAGAAAGCGGAGAACTTATCCGCCAAATCCGAGAATGAGGCTATGGAGTTGGGCTCTAAGGTTGAGAACCAATCTCTAGCAGCATTCGTCAAAGTTTGCGGGAAGGCCTTGCACATCACCTGATCCGGTGCGACCTGTAGATTCATGACGTCCGTGTATACGTTCAGATGATTGATTGGATCAGTGGTCCCATCATATTCTTTGATCCTAGGATACTTAAATCTGGCTGGCAAGGGGAATGTTAATATTTCGGGAGTAAAGGGAGTGTTGGGACTGAATCTTGTTGTCCCTTTGTTGCCCTGGAGTAGGCCCACCGTAATTCCTTCTTGAATAACCCTAGCAAGTTCCCCGGACTCCATGGTCACTGATCTCGAGGCCGAGGTCACATGTGGTATACCCGAGGCCCCTGCTCTGCCATCGTTAGGGACATGTGTTTGAGCTCGAGCTCGAGCATCAGTCATAAAACCCCCCTGGGGTGCTGGTGTAGGTGACGGATGCGAGTTTCTTTGACTTAGCAGTTGAGTCAGTGTGGCGACCCGTTGTCTGAGCTCTTCAAAGGCTCCAGCAGTGACGACTGCCGGCTAGGGCTCTGGCACTTTTGATGATTCCTCTTGAGGAACAGGGATATCCTCAGGAGGGGGTTGGTTTGGAGCGGATGAGCTTGCTGGTGGAAGACCGAACGTGTGTTTACCATGGCTTTTGGTAGCGATTCCCATAGACGGCGCCAATGATGCTATCAAAAATCGTACCTGCAGATTTTCCGAGCTTGATGACTGATAAGGAGTACGAACGTGATCTTCCGATACCTGAAACAAAGGCAACGAGGTGTGTTCTCGTCGCCCCTCCGATACTTAAGTCAGAAAGGGGAAATATATGCGTGAGGCTATGTGCTGAAGAACGATGAGAAAACGTACCTGAATAATGGTTCAAGGTTCTGTATTTATAGTGGTAAGTGACATTCTCCTAATTGGACTCAACTAGCTGGATGTCATCATCTGTTGGAATCCTGAATGGTTAAGGAGTTGGTTGAATTCCAGAATTATACGTGAGATAGGATTCTTCTGGGAGTTAAGATTCCTAATTGCGTAGGAATTCTAAAGGGTTAACAATCGTCAGTAGCGAGGGATAGCACATTCTCGAGGACTATGCCCGAGGACATATGGTTGCAATATGCGAAGTAGCATGGAGTTGTGGTCGGGCACAGTGTCTCGAGGATGAACATGCTCGAGGACACCGCATATGAATTTACAACTTTATCAAAACTAGTCCTCGGGATAATTGATCGGGATATTGGAAAAATGTCACCATCAAATATAATATAATATTAGGAGGTGTTTGATACGTATTTTTATGTAAAAATATATTTTAAAATAGTAAATTGATGTGAAATATGTGGTTGAAAAATAAGAAATTTTTTTTGATTTATGTGTAATCTTATTTTAATAAAAAATATGTGATTAAAAAGAAGAGAAAAAAATACATTTTGAAGATAATGGCTACCAAACATGGCCTTAATTAAAGTGAAATCGGATTTCGTTTGCTCCTGATTTTGTACTGTACCCGGACGGATTTTGTTTCCTCCTTTCTTGTGGGCCCGTAACATTAAATGATCTGCCCATGTTCTCTCACATGCAAAATTAAATGTGTTTCAGTCCTTGACACACTTACCCATTCTTTCCCCTTTGCTATCAGCCCAGTA